GGTGTCAGTGCGTATGCATCTGCAACATCTGGCCTGGGTTCAGGGAGCTGAACTCTGGAGGATGTTCTGCGCCTACACACACTCACAGGGATAAAAAGGTTGTGCACACTGAGACTCAAAGGCCCACTCACACTTTTATTTATTGCTCTTGTATTTGTGTAGAATGTCAACCACACCCTTAGGTCAAAAACCTTAGCTTAAAGCTACTCATATGGATATCATATCAAGCTAAAAATAGAGAACCAAACACAGTGACAGGTAAATTCAAAGAAGCATGAGACTACGGACACCTGCGATATCAGTGGCTTTCTGAAGCAAACATCCATAAGGTTACTTATAACTTTCTCATCACGTGCTCACACGTGTGTTTACTCGTGTGCAGTATATAGAAAACTGGCTGTGAAATTGCTGAGTTTAAGGATGACAGTTTGAACTGCTGTTATAAGACTAAACACAGAAAGAAAAACAAGAACTTATGGATAAAAGTAAAGTGACTAAAATGAACCCAGAGCTGAAACTGGATTTTTGGATGGTATTATACAGCAGAGGATTTTGTGCAAGTCAGTGCTAAAAATGAAGCATGTTGTTGTTTTAACTAAAATACAGCGCTGTGACAAAGTATTTAGCCCCTGAATTTTGTGCCACTTAAATGTTTGGGATCATCAAACAAATTTAAATCCAAGTAAATACAGAATGATGATTTCATATATTGAGGGAAAGAAGCCATCCAAACCTACTGGGACCAGTGTAAAAAAAACCCCCAAAAAACCTGCCCCCCTTTGTTAAATCCCACCCACCTTTTTTGCATGAGTACACAAAAGTGTGTGCGTGTGTGCACGATTCCCACCTGGTCCATTTAAGAAATCTTTAATCTGGAGGCAGAGCAGAGGGGGAGGAATCCCCGTTTTACTGTCCACCTCTCCTGCTACTGTCTGCAGCCAAAACACATTGTAGTCCAGAGATTCTGGTAGAGTCTTTCCTGGGTCTGAACAAAGCGAGGCAGATAAAAACATGAATAGAAAAATAAAAGGTCATACATGTCAACATCAGGAAGTTTCACATTTATTAGTTTGAGTGAATATGACTCATGGGGGGAGATGGAAGTCAATTTGTCCAGGATCTACAGTTAAATCTACAGCATTTACCCTTTAAAAGTATCCCCAGCCAATCAGTGGAACATATTTACTTATCTCTCTCACCTAGACACTTGTAGTCAGCAGCTACTCCTCTTAAGGACACATCAAACACAGACAGCTCCATCCTCTGTTTGCGGTGGTGACAGCTGAGAAGGGCAGAAGGTTGCATCACCTGTAGGTACAAGAGGGGTTCCAACACCTGGTCGCCAGCCCCTCTTCTCCCAGGCTGCCTAACTATGGTTACACCAAGTGCTTGACGGGCTGAGGAGCGTGTCGGAGTAGGCAGGCCATCCAGGGAGAGCAGGCTGCCTCTCAGCAGTGGAGAGGCCGGCTGGGAGGTGTTGCTGTTGAGGATGTCCTCAGCAGTCAAGCCAGCAAGTGAACTCTGGGTAGCTGGAGGCAGATCTGGAGTTGGGGATGCCGAGGCTGAATGTGACTCAGACTGGAGGCTGGTCTCAGGCTGGTTGAGGGCACTCTTTCCAACCTGAATCCGATAAAAAGGAATTTCTTACTACTGCAGCAGGATTCCTATGAAATCACTGGAATTTGAGGATCTTACTTTGGTTCTGTTGACCTTATACATATCAAATCAGGCTGTTTGGTGCTGCTTATAAAAACTTGAACCAAAAAACATAATGTGCACTCTGTGTAGATGTGAGCAAGTTTCATTTATCAGCTCCAAATGCACAACACGGTTGTTTGTTTGCTTTTCTATCTTGAGTGGGCTTATGTTGAACTGGTGCCCAGATGTCTTTGAGTTCCACCTCTGCTTAGACTGTGGGAATCTTTTGAAATTATTTATCAGCATAAATACACACACAGTATATTAATGTTATTATGTGGACAGATGAGCATTGATGGTCCATGTTGCACTATATTAAATTGAGTTGTTATAATTTAGACTGTATGAAACTACTTTTATCAGACACACAAAATAATTACAAATTCTATTTTCAATTAGACAACTGTACAAAATCAACCTGCTGTAAAACTCAAACATTATAACTCTTATAATAACATAATAACACTGCATGCTATTGTACATGTTTTCTATTATAATTCTCGACACGTGGATAACAAAGAGATCCAGAAACTGATGCGTGCAAGAGCTTCCATGTGACAAGCTTTTATTATTTACCTTATCCCCAGGCTGCATCTTTTCCGGTGTGCCAGGAGTATCCGACAGAGAGGGAATTGCCTTTGGAGGGCTGGAGCAAGCATAGGTCATCACAGACAGCCTACTAGCGGTGAGAAAGATGTCAAAGGGGATAAAGCTTAGGTTCTTGGTAATGGTGGACTTGTGGGAGGGTCTGGCAATGCAGTGGTGACTGGCCCCACTTTGTTGCTCGATTTGCACAATACGGATGCGAGCGCTGTCGCTGCCGAAGCCGCTGTCCTGTCCAGTCCCACTGTGTCGCGATGAAGAGTCAGCGCCCGCTACGGGGTCTCGACCACCTCGCGTCTGCTCATGCCGACGCAGCTGTATATAAATACATTGAAGGGAAAGCCATGTTGACACAGATGCATATGTTCTTGGCAAAAAAAAAAAAAGTGCAAAGGTTATTAGCATTAGCAGGACGAGAATAGGAGCGAACCTTGTTGTGCTGCCCAGAGCACAACAAGGTTAGCAGAAAATTAAGGCGATTAAAAGATTAGTAAAACAGCAGTGCACCATCACTGACACACTTCCTAAAAAACTTGAAAAAGACCAAAATGCTATTTTTCAAAAGTGTAAAATCCATCACTAGAATGAATGCAAACCAACTGAACTGGATAAGCAGAGGAGGATGGATGGATGTACTAGTACCTCCACCCTTGTAAGGGTGGACCTGTTGTTCACTGACATGCAAAGAAAGAAAACCATAAAAGTCTAGGTAATGTAACTTAGCTTTATCATGTTTGCTTTTTGTAAATTGATAACATCTATCAGCAGCTAACGTAAGCAGTATGGCTACTAACCTGTGCAAGCCATGAAATTATAAGGTAAAGAGTGTAAATACACAATAATAATTACCACTTTATGATAAAAAAAATTATGGTTTAAAAAAGAGAAGTCTGTTTGCAATAAAAGACATGACCTTATCTCAAACCAAAGCAAGCTGGTGTGTTAGCATCACCATGGAGATAAGGGAAGCAAATGAAACTGGAGAACATTTGCTGTTTTGTTTTTTTAAATCTGTAAATCAGTTTCTTGTGTCGGTCCTGGCTTTATGAGAGAACACAAATCAAATAACTCATTTGATTGAATCCATGGACAAATTGACCAAAGAAGGGAAGCATCGTACAGCCACAGAGACATTAAAGGCATGCTCTGGGACTTTTTACTGTGGTCTAAAAATCCTTTTGCACTTCTTACAATACAAAAAAAGAGCCTCACCCCAGCAAATCAAAATGTTTTGTGTAGTTACTGTGGTATTGTGTATGAAGCAGCTGAGATTTTATGCTTGGCTCCAGCTAACGGATGTCGGGAAGGTTCCAGCCGTTGTGGCAATAAAAAGCTTGCAGTGACAGATGATATAAATCAACGCGAGCACTGTTGCTGGATTTCAAGTGACAATGAAAACCGGCATCTTTATTCTGCTACCAAAGAATGCCATCTTCCAAGGCTACAAAGAAGCTGCCATTAGCTCCCATGGGATAGATATGAGACAAATAACTAAAACTAAATGCTACCTACCAAATCCCTTACTGGACATGTTTCCAGAACTGACATATATATAGCTGGAATATCCAAATGATTTGACTTTTTGAAAAAATTCCCAAATGTGTGGAAACATTTCTAGATGCTAAGAAAAACTGTTTGGATCACAACACACAGAAGCACTTTGTTAAAGTGGAGCAGAGGCTGACGTAAGAAAAAAGGAAAAAATGAAAGAATGCAAACAGGTCTCATGTAAGCATATAAGGTGGGTCTGGTGTGTTTGACGACTACTTCACATCAAAAAAATCCCTCCTCTTATACTGTACAGGTTTGTTAGACGCAGCATGAGTAGTCAGTTACTCACCAGTTCCAACACCAGTTACACCATGACTGAGGCCTATCCCCAGTGTTTCCCATCCATGTAAACAGGAACAGCGTCAGTTTCGATTAGCTACTGCTGTCTTTTGAAACATGATGAATTGTAAAACACAGGAGACAGACCCAAGGTGTGTCCCATTCTCTCCCACCCTCATCTGCTCCAGTCTGCACATGGTTGCTATTACAGCATGTACTCTCAGCTGCCCCCTCTCTTTCTCTGCATCACTCCCTTCCACACACTCCAATGAGAATTTTAAATGTATATTATTGCTGTGGCGGAGATAGTGTTTCAAGACCTCCAGGCAAACACTAAACCCACTGGCAGCACATTAGACAGAATACTTGACTTATTAGATATTTCCTATTCTAAACAGTGTCATCAAAGGCTAAGAACAAGAGCCATATAAAACGCAGCAGCATGCCTGCCTGCCTGTTCTGTTCAACTGGGCTCATGTGTGGGGCTTCCATAGGATTGGCCTAGCCAGATCCCCTTCCTTTCTCTGCCATAATGAGGACAGGATGTGTGCATTTCTTTTCTGTAGAAATGTCAGATTTTCCAAGCAATGAGGAGGAGAGAGAAGGCAGAAAGGGCCTGGACTTGTCTCCATGTGTGTTAAGTTAAGCGAGTGAAACTTGCATTGAGGTAAGGAGGTATTTGAAAAGGTATTCAGCAAAGGCAAAACATCCCCTCCGAGGAGCACCCGACATTGGAAGGGACAAATAAGCTGCATAGCAGCTGGGAAAGAGAGCGAGCCAGCAGAACCTGCCAGACGCTCTTTATGCTTTTCTCCCTTCCCAAACGTAGGCCGTACACATGCATTTACAATTACAGCAAATACCCCATCTTCTCTTTAACCACCACTACTAGCAGAGTGCCCCCTAAGCAAATTTTTGGTCTATATTTAGATGTGCTTACAAGTGGAATAAGGGATGATGGGGAACACAATCAGAGCCACGCAGGAAGAGAGACAATGAAAAAACGTGCCAAATGCACAGTGTTCATAAGTTCGTGCATTCAATCAGTGTATTCACAAACATGTACGCATAAACACATGAAGTCAGTGGCTATTCAATCACTTTAACTTGCTGCTTCTTCTTCTTGCAGCTTAGTTAGATCCCTATTGTACCTACTAACTGGAAACAAACAGCATGTATACAAAGAAAACATATACCTCTATATGCATTAACTTTATACCAATTTATTCAATTATTGAGGGCAATAAATTTAAAATACAAACATTGACTGTAACTACAGGACCAGTCCCAGCTGGAATCCCCTTTTCCAGCTATTACTTTCTATTATATTATATAATGGCTTCACTGGAAACGCTCTTTCCAGATCCCAATGCAATCTTCCTCTGAACTTAGGTGATCGTGATCATGAACGTGCAACTACACACACATACACATCCCTCCACACCCGAACCCCCACCAGCCAATCGTGAGGTCATCCCATCAGAGTCTCCAGGCAGAGCATTCTGGAAAATGAAGGATAATCCCCAAAGTGTGAAACCATGAGTCTCCTGAGTGCCAATCATATCACAGTGCATCTGTGTGACTCCTGACCCCATTTCTATCAGTGTAACTCAGAACAGCTTGCTGAAGAAAGGCTAACACTCGGAAGCAAGTGTCACATCATCCAAATGCCACCCGTTCACAGTGCTGGCTGGCTAGTCAAATATGACAGCATACTTTTTACATTTGAATATCACATATGCAGTTGATGCTTTCCAGATGAATGAAAAGAAAGTTGCCATTCGGGATCAGGGATCAGGGAACATGAAAATCTGGATTTTTAAGATGGTAGGGAAGTCCATGGTAGTCGACAGGAAAGAATAAAATAAATACGATCCAAGTAACAAAGGTGACTATTATTCCTTTCAAGACGGCCCATTTAATAGCCACATATCCAAACTGTAGTCCAACTACATTCAGGTTCGTATAATACAAGGATTCCCAAAAGTTCCCAGACTGAAATGGTGCAACAGGATAAAACCCCACAAAAATAGCACTAAATGAGACTAAAATTCCTTTATCCCCAAGCAATACACTGGCCACGTTTGAAGCAGCCTGGATGAATGGCTGATGAGATATGTGTAGAGCACTCAGAGAGGCACACAGAGATTTCTTGATTTATTAGTGAAATGCTTCAGCTTGAATTCCTCCAGTGAATGACAGGCTGTTGCAGTAGCCATGGCAGCCAGGTGAGGTCAGCTTAGGGAACTGAGCCACTTTTCATGCATTTTTAGTAGAAAAATGGTTTATCACATTTTTCCCATGTTCTCTTGTAACTCCAGTAGAATTCCCATTGAAAAACACGGGAAGTCATTACTAAATCTTTCTGACAGCACTATTCAGTTCAGCTACTTGCTTGCAAAATGCCTACATTGAAATTAACTTCTGTATCTTGACTACATCAAAGTTTATATGTTAAGCCCCTGCTGTGCTACCCACTTTTGTTTACCAGAAGCATAAAGCTGATAGCAGGCCTCTGTGTTATTGTGCACATGAAGGAAAACTTCAATGCAGCAATACCTCATCTTAATCAAAATAACAATAATACGTTACCACATGCCATTAGAAACCACAACTCACTTGCTTATTTTCTTGAGGAAAACAGAGGAGGGAAGACATTTATAATATGAAGTCACTGCTTTGTACGCCATAATGCAGAGCAAGAAAGGGCATCAAAGGCAGTCATTTAGCACACTAAACTTTGTTTCAATAACAAAGGCAACCTGCTATGCACTTTAACTGAACCACAACAAAGAGGTAAAGGAAGGTCGTGACCCTAGAGCTCGCAAATGGATGCCGAGTGCTTCGGCGTGACTGTCGACTGTACTTTAAACAGTGTACTCCAAAGCTCAGGGCGCCAAGTGGGGCCATTTTAACAAGCTCCCTCCACCCAGTAATGCTGGTGGGTGGGTTTACTCCGCCAGGGTTTAGCAACATGTTTCTCAAAGGAACACGAGAGACAACATCCGAACCATTTTGTTTTTTCCTTCCACGCTCCAGGTCCCCAGATATCTCTCCTTACTCCATTTCTCCATCTATTGGTGTGGACCAAAGGAATAACAATGTGGGAATATTTTGCTTACCATGTCAGAGAATCTCTCGCTCCTTTGATGCCACGTGACTCACGGGGGGAAAGCAAACACTGCGGTGACAGTAATAATTTATGCATGTTGACATTCCTAAAGCACTGGGTCAGTTGGAACACTTTTCATCCGGAAAGACCGACTGGGGCAGAAGCGAGGAGATGGCTGGTCTAAACAGAGGAGCATGAGAGAGGGGCTTGTGAAACACCTAACTGAAAAAACAAAGGAAAGATGAACCGACAAGAACATGAATGCAGAGATGATGTTCTTTGGTTTCCAGCTGCCCTATAGTTTGGAAAAGCTCTGGCCCAGAAACAAAGATGCGAAATGATAAAGGCGGGAGAATGGAAAGAACAACTGTAA